GGCACACCTCCAGACAGCCGTCCAGTCGCACCACTCTTCTGCCGCTGCCTCTGCCGCTGGGAGGACGACGTGTCTCGCATAATTTGCGGCAAAGTGCACAACAATGGCAGCGCCCTCTGTCGTCCGCCTGTCACGGCCAAGCAAGGCATTAGCATTGGACAACGATTGGGGGGAGGGGGATGACGCGTGAAATATTAGAAATTAAAAAACACATGACAAGCCGTGCTGGAACAGTGCAGGGAGCAGTGTGGTGTGTCTCCCCGCACTTTGATTTGTCTGCCAGCCGCAGACAATGGGGCTCTGCCTCTGCCCCCAAACTCCTGTTAATATCCTTCGCAGGAACCAACGCAGGAATTGCTACACAAGAGGGTGGGACAAGGGAATGGGAACGGGGCCTGTAGGCCATGCCAATAAATTAGGAAACACCTGTTTCTGGCCAAGGGGAGAGGTGGCAACGCTGGAAACGCTGGCGACAGATGTCTTCTGCAGTGGCTGGGGCTGGGGCAGGGGGCAGAGTGAGGGGAATCGAAACTGTTTTTGTAATGAAAATATTACGAGAATTATTCCGGTGCTACATAATTTGTGGCACTCACCCCTTGCCCCACCCCTTTTTGGGGTTTGTGTCTGTAATTTATGTTACTCTCTTTTTCTCTATTGCTGGCTACTTGGCCGCATTTCGCGGTTTTTTATTGCTACGTGCAGGGGGGGAGGGGACTACAGAGAAGGATACACACTAGAGGGGGGTGGGGGCAGTAGCAAGTAACACAGGAACAGGAGCAGACCACCGCCATAATGTCGTCATGACAGACGCGGCCATAAAAGATAATTATGATTCCGGTAATAGGTTTTATTTTTTCGCATGTACATACCTCTTTTGTTCCCCCCCCCATCCCATACAGCAGAAACCATTGCCAAAAAGTTGTTGCCGGGATGCTGGCATGGCTGGCACAAAGGTCGAGTCCCCTGCCCCTGCCCCTACCACGTCACACCAATGTCTGTGACTTTCGCCAGTGTCTACATTTACTTTTCGGGTGACCAACGTGGCATAGAAATTATGCGCATTATACGCGGCACGGCGCGCTCCAGCGCCTCGCTAAAAAATTATATCCGCGGAATTATGCGAACCCCAAGAGCGAAAGAGGGGGTGTGGCAGAGTGAGATAGAGTCTGTGGACCAACCGATACCCTGGAGAGATATTTAACTAGGTTTCTAGTTTCTTTATTTTCTTTATTTAAGTTAAATCCAATTTATTTGTGACTCATTAGAGATTTGAGAGCTGTAGGGGCATTTAAATGATTCCTTTTAAATCGCTAACAAATACACCTTTTAGGATATGGCCATGGCTAATACTCTACCCATCCAGCGCTTACTTTCCTGTTTTTTTATATTTTATTTCCATGTGCCGAGCCTTTTGATAAATTGCCGACAAACACTGGGAGAGGGGAGGGGGGCGAGAGCGGATTAAGATGCGTGTTACATATTTAATTAGCAGCCCATCAAGGGGTAGCACCACCAAGTGCGGGGGCTTCCATGCCGTGTTTCCCCCGCCCACGATGATACTCCTCCAATGAAGTTGTCAGTCGCTTATGAAGATTAATGCCACCTTGTGGCACAGTTTTCACTAAGCAGGTTTTCATTTTCCATTCAGTTTCAATCCATTTCCATCTTTCAATCAATTCCATCGCACGGCGACCCGCGGAGTTCCGCAGAGGCGCTAAATGGAAAATGGAAAATGGGGGCGGGTACAAAGAGTAATTGTCGTAACATGATAATTGCTTTAATGACGAATGCAAAATGAAAACCCCCGCCCACTGCCCAGCCCCAGCACCCGTGGGGAGGCGACCTGTCAGGCCGCGCGTCCTTTCGATGTTGATTAATGTGCTCCTGCTCCTTCTCCTGCTCGCTCCACGGCGCTGGCAATGGCGATGGCCCAGATTGACCCAGTTTTCAATTAAAACGGGACTCTTTTGCTGACAGGTTGTGGAACATTGGGTATCGTATCCTGCAGCAGAATATTGAACGGAAATCAAACAAGGAGCAGCAGCAGCAGCCGCAGCAGCAGGAAATAGGCAAATGACAGTCCTGTTGATGTCTAATGGAAAACGTGTGCGGGCATAAAAATGGCCGCTAAGAAAATGCATATAAAAATATACACATGTGTGTGTGTGTGCGTGTGCGAAGATGGAAGGACATGCAAGGACAAACGGAAGTCACATACGCAGAGCAGACCTCACTCGCCCACAAAGTAACTTCAACCCGAAGCAAAGTCCATAAAATATTTTTTATACACCAGAGATCCGAAGGAGATACACTCGAAGGAGCAAAGGAGCAAAGGAGTTCTTGGGCAGAGGCATACCTACACGTAAATGGAGCTGGAAAGGATATCGTGGCTCTGGCCTTTGCTGGTCCTGGGGGAAATTGTTTACACAAGTCATAAGCATTTTTTAGCGAGCCATCGCCGTGGACCTTCTCCTCCTCCCAGTCCCTGTCCCTGTTCCTGTCCCTGTCCCTGTCGATGTCTAGTGTTTGCCAGCGTATAAAAGCGTTTGGCATTTGCATAAACCTTTCCCGAAACGAACAGCGCTTCGAATCTGCTGTTTGCCCAGAACATTATGATGGAAAGGAGCTTCAGCTTCAGCTACAGCTCCAGCTCCTTCCACTCCCCACTCCCACTCTGATCATTCCCCGTTCTGACCCGAAAGAAACTTTCGACAACTGCAATAATCATAACTGCAGCCAACCGCTCGACATTGATTTCAAATTTGAAAAGATTGGCGAGCAGATACGCCACCGTCTCCATTGCCCCATTCCCCCATTGCTCCATCTTGAGCGGCGGGCGCCATTAATGGAGCATTGTTTCACAAGTCGTTCGGAGGCGTCTCCGGCTTCACCATTTGACTGCTCGCTTGAGTTTCCACTTGATTTGGTCGCACCATAAAGCATCTCTCTCTCTGTCTTCCCGCTCGAAAACTTTCCCAAGTGGACGAAGGAGCAGCGGCCAAAAGTTTGGCGCTTTAAGTTTTATGTGGAGCAATTCCAGTGGGTCACCAATTGAAACCGATATGCCCTGCCCCTACCCTCGGAAGGTGCCTCTGTCTCTGTCTCTGTCGCTGCCTCTCCCACCGCCAAATGCATTAGCTTTCCCATCCCACTATAATTCTGTGTGTTCTGTGTGTTTAGGTGTACTCAAATCCACTCCATTCCACTCCTCGTTCAACATTTGCCCGCCACAGATTAAGCGGCATAGAAAGAGCGAGAGCGGGAGAGAGCGGGAGATGGTTCATTGGGGGGATGGATGTTCTCGCCAAAGCGGTAGGGGAATTCCCTTGAATTTGTGGCGGGAATGGGGAGTGTCTTGCAACGAAAGTAAATAGGTTTTTGTGTGCTGCTGGCAGTTTTGGTTTAGGTTAAACGATATTTTGTACCGTGACATGTTTGCCGTTCGCCCGTCGATGTTGTCGCTGATTTTGATCCATTCGCCGATGATTGATGACACTTAATTGATGAACATCCCATCCCATCCAATCCCCATACCCCCAGGACACACACACTGCAAATATTTGCTAATGTCTGGCTTAAAGTGGCCCATCGTCCAAAAAAAAAAGAAGCTTAAACTCTCTAGTCCCAGCTGCTGACAGCAGCAGGACCAGGAGCCACACCCGTAGACCGTAGACACGGTCTGACTCCTGCCTGTTGGACACTTTCCAGGTCACAGGTGCTTTTGTTGTCCGCATTAGATTCTGTCCCCTGCCCAACCCACACCCACACACACACACACACCACACAAATCTTTGGGCCCCTGTCCCTGTCACCGTTCCCCTGCCCATTGCTTTGCATTTGGTTTGGCTTTTTGTTTGGCTGCTCTGCTCTGCTCTGTCCATTTGGCTGTAAAATTTATTTCATTTGTCCAAACCCAAACCCAAACCCCATCCCATCCCTGCCTTGCACCCCGCATAGGCATGACGCTGACAGTTTTATGGCAAAGTTAAGCCGATATCAACGGCAGGACATATCGTCGCATGACCCGCCCCGCCTGCGTCCCTCCATAAAAGTGTAAAATTTAAAGCCTTTTTCCGGTCATACGTTCCCACTGTTCCCACTCGCACTCGTACCTTTGGGGGCGCACGCACAACAAGTGGAACGGACCACCGTTCGGTTCAGTTCAGTTCAGTTCATAGCATACAAAATGGTATTGTATTTAGGTTTTCCACAAAAATGGAAGCCCCCTTTTCAATGGATTCATTCATGGTTAAAGCAGATAAAATGACTGAGGGAGCGAGAGAGCTGTGTGACCAAGCCAACCCGACGATTGGGTCAGCAATTGTTCGGGGAATCATTTCCAGCATTAACTGGTTAAGCTCTCTTCCACATGCTCGAGCTATGAATATATGTAGATTTGTCTATATATGTTCCCACTCTAAGATACACTCACTAATCAGATACAAACATATATCCTCTTCCATTGTTTTGCTCTCTTATAAGTCCAAATTAATTATAGCAACTTGATAATGAGTGAAAGGGGTATTCATATGGAATGAATAGGCGGCAAAAGGCAAACATTATTAGTTAATGGCTATCCTGCTGTATCTGTATCTTTACTTTTCATATTGCGACTTCCACAGCCTTTTTGGATTCTCTGATTCTACGTATGAAAATTGTACAACATCCAACATCCGCCAAATCTTAATTGTTTCAAGGTTTCAGGCTGTAGTTTAATAAAATCAAAAAACTTTTCAGAACTTAGTAAAATTAATTAAAATATTAAATTAAAAAATATGATTCATAAATAAAAAATTATACTCCAAAAAATATGTTCACTCACCATTAAAAGCAAGAAAGTTTACAGATTCTAGAAAACAAAAGAAAAACAAAAAACATTAAAATAGCATATAAAAAATAAAATAAAATAAATAAAACAAAAAGCTTATAAAGGTAAATATTTCTATACAAATCAATAAATGTTATATAAGTACAATAAAATTATGTTCGAAAAGTGGAGATGAGAAATTTCATTGATTGATTTATTCCCAAAAGAGTTGATTCGTTAATTTTACACATATGAGTATGCAGTATGTATGTTTGTTTCGTCTATATATCGATTTGTTTGTTGTCGCAAAACTCCAGGAACCATTGGTACTTCTCCAGCATGCCGTGGATCCAGCGACCAAAGACATACAGTGGGATGGGCATGTACTCGCCCTCGTCGCTCTTGCCGTTGTAGTACGCGGTGATCTTCACGTCGATCATCAAGGTGGCATGCAGCATGTAGAGGATGCCGCAGCTGAGCGAGGCAATCGCCTGGCTGCGCATGAAGCTGAAGAAGGGATGGACGGGCTTGTCCTCCTGGTACTCGCCCTCCCCCTGGGGTGGCTCCTCGCCCGAGAACATGAGATGGAAGTCGTGCTCGGCATCCCACATGGTGGTGATGGAGATGAGGGTGAAGGCGCTGGCCGCGGCCGAGGACTTGATTATCTCCATGCAGACGGTGGGCGTGTGGCCCGTGCAGACGCTGATGCTCTGGAAGAGGGTCAGAACCATGAAGACGTAGAAGGAGACCATGTAGCAGTACTGCATCATCTGCTTCTCCCACGCGAACATCTCCAGATCGACGGCCATGAACCCGGTGATGTGATAGGCCATGCAGAGCATGTTGAACACATTCTCCAGGGTGTAGAACACAAAGAGAACGGGACGCAGGGCGCCAGCTGTTGTATTGGGGGGAGTGTTGCCCGTATTGCCAGTATTGCTAGTGTCCACTGGCATCGTGTCGCTGTGTCTCCTAAACCATTGATTTGCTTCGACAGTGTGTCTCGGTGTCTCCGTGTGCATTACTTTTGATCTAAACTAGAAGTTTCTACATTCGATAGATCCCTCATGGCCTACTCCACACCCACACCCACTCCCACTTCATGCCATTCCAATGAAACTCTTCTGCCCCACACTGTGGCCAGAAGCCACTCTTCTGCGCTCACAAGCGGCACGTTCTTCGGTGACTCGCTGCGCGCCGCTCGCTGTGCGGTCACGTCTGCGGTGTGCGGTCTGTCTGCCGAGGTGCTCTTTGGTTTAATTAAATGTGCGGTGGGTGCGTGTCGCTATCAATGCGCGCCGCTTATCAGTGGGCCAGATACACGGCAACAGCAGCAGCAGCAGCAGCAGCAATACGGGCAGCAATAACAATCATGGTAAGCATTTATCTTTGGCTGAAAGCTGCTGGCAACAGTTGGCTCTGGCACGTAGACAGAGCAAGACAGCGCCATGAAGAGGAGAATTCTACTTTTCGCAGTCTCACTGATCGCTGCCGGATTGGCAGGGTTAACAGTCCACGCTCAGGTGGAAGGGGAACAGAGCCACTCCACATCCGTGGCGGGAATGGTGAAGCTGCTCGAGGTGGAGGCACAGCTCATTGATGCCCTGAAGGACTATGCGGCGGAACTGGACAAGAAGCTGCAGGCAGTGCGCAGGTGAGCCTCCATTCTTGCCCCCTGAGCGGATCATTGGATAACTATTATTGGATTGGATGCTGCCCTCCTTCAGTGGCATAGCCAGCATGCGGCGGGAGAGCAAAGGGGCCCAGGACTCTATGGAGGAGTACCTCTCGAATCCGCTGAACTCCTTCAGGCTCATCCGCCGCATGCACCGCGACTGGACGCTGTGGCAAATGTTCATGGACGATCCGGTGGGTCTGCCGCAGGTGGATCGTGTCCAGGAGCTGCGCGATCAGATGCCCACCAGCACGGACCTCGAGGAGGCCGTCACCGCCGTGGACCGCATTCAGAGCACCTACGGACTGGAGGTGGCGGACATCAGCCACGGAATCCTCGATGGCAGGCAGTACAAGTGAGTGACCCCCCATGGAGGATGGGGGATGAAGGATTATTCTCTGATGGATTCTAATTTATTTTCTAGTGTCAGCCTCAATGCCCTGGACACCTATGCCATGGGACAGATCCTCTTTGACGAGGGAAAGTACGCGACAGCTGCTGGCTGGCTCTACCAGACTCTGGTGTGGCTGGAGGACAACAACAACAGCCTGCCTGGCCCCGAGGCGCTTTCCAAAGGGGAGGTGCAGGCAGTGTATGCCGAGACGCTCCTGAAACTGGGTAAGGTCCCTGCATCTGGCCGTGTTCCCTGCTCACCCACTAATCGACTGCGAATGCCCCCACACAGAGAGGCACGCGGATGCGCTGAAAGTTGTCAACATTGCACTGGGGGGCGATAAGAGGAACGACATTAAAATGTTGCTGAAGAAATCGGAAATAGAAACGCTGATAAGGATGGGCCCCGACTCCGTACTCACGGCACCCACGGTACGTACGAGTATGTCTGTGATAAGGTTTCATGGATGGGAGCTAAATTTACCCACCATCTCCCCTATTGGAAATCCACAGCTGAAGAGCCCCGCACCGCCAGTGGGCGCGTATGAGCGTGGGTGTCGCGGCCTGTTCCCCTCCCCGTCCACGGATGCCAGGCTCCACTGTGTGTACAACTCCAGCAACTCGGATTTCCTGCGCCTGGCACCGCTCAAGATGGAGCTGGTGGGCCTCGACCCGTACATGGTGCTCTACCACGACGTGATCTCTGCCTCGGAGATCAGCCAACTCCAGGAGATGGCCGTGCCAGGGCTAAAGCGAGCGACGGTCTACAGGACGAACGCCGCCCGGAGTGTGGTGGTCAAGACGAGGACATCGAAAGTCACGTGGTTCCTGGATACATTCAACGAGCTGACCATTCGCCTCAACAGACGCATCGCCGACATGACCAACTTCCAGCTGGTGGGCTCCGAGATGCTTCAGGTCATGAACTATGGCCTTGGAGGCCACTACGACAAGCACTATGACTTCTTCAATGCGAGCACAGTGAGTGCCACAATTCCTTCCATGGTATCCATTGCTCATTCATGAATCATTCCCTCCACTAGGCCACAAATATGACTCACATGAACGGCGATCGCATTGCCACCGTCCTCTTTTATGTGAGTTATCCCCTGCCCTGGAGATTAATATCCCAGTGAGACTTGAACCTTTTTCTTGCCCTCCGCGATAGCTGACGAATGTGGAGCAGGGCGGTGCGACAGTCTTCCCCAACATCCAGAGGGCCGTCTTCCCTCAGCGGGGATCGGCCATCATCTGGTACAACCTGAAGGACGATGGCGAGACCGATCCGCAGACTCTACACGCCGCCTGTCCCGTTCTCGTGGGCTCCAAATGGGGTAGGAACCTTCCACCGGATAGTCCCCTCATTTTCCCCAATTTCACTCTGCATCTTTTTTGTGTTTTTAGTGTGCAACAAGTGGATTCGGGAGCGTGCACAGCTCTTCAGACGGCCCTGCCTCAAGAGGGGAAAGTGAAAGTGATTCCAATGCTCATTTAAATGGAAATTGGAAATTTAAAATAGTTTAACAATGAATTTACCTCATTCCGGAATGGAACTAAATAAAGCCACCACTCTACACTCTCTACAGAAATCGGACATGCTGTCAATCTCAGCCATGATCAGCTAAATCAGTCGATAAGAACAATCCACAGTCAAGCATGCAACATGCTTAGATAAGTTTAATTTCATTTCGGAATACTCCACAATAAGAGGCACCAACCCACCCATTAATCAAAGTCTGGGCGAATGGGAATACCTGTCATATCACCTGTGATCAGAATATGAGGGTGAATCAGCATAGTCGGAACTACCCATGCCAGCAGCTAGGAAATGCCGAACTTATCTAAGTGCCAACTTAATTTATAATTAGAATTTAGGTGAAATGAACACGATAAATCCAAGATTTCGGAGCTCTATCGGAGCCACCGATAATCTGGGCCTGCAGATGCTCCTGATGCAGTGGAAAAACAGCGATTTTGCTGCCAATGATTAACATAAAATATACATTATGTATATCGATGTTGAAATATAACAATTATCTGGATTCTGCCCCATAGAAGCCAGAAGCAACTCTTCTGCGCTCACGAGCGGCACGTTCTTCGGTGACTCGCTGCGCTGTGCGGTCACGTCTGCGGTGGGTGCGTGTCGCTAACAATGTGCGCCGCTTATCAGTGGGCCAGAGGCACAGCACAATATCAGAGCAACAGAAGCAACGAGCAGGGCAGCAACGGCAAGTACGGGAAGCGAAGGCGAAGTCATGGTAAGCGCATGGTCCATTATCTTTGGGTGAAAGCTGCACATGCGACCCAGTAAATGCTCAACCTTTTTTTTCTTGTTTATATTTTTATTATTATTTTTAAGCTATTCAGTTTTTTAATAGCTGTTGAATTGACCGAGCAGATTCGATAGAATATACATACATACAATTTATTGGTAGGCGAAAGCAAAACATACATACATACATATGTAGTTACATATGTGTGTACATATAAAGTATGTACGATTATGACGATCAGCTGAACTGCAGGCCCCGTGCTCTATGTAGAGCATCTTAGAAGAGAGGGAGAAAAAGCTACAGAAAGAGAGCGTTAGAGCAGCTTGGGGGCTTGGGGCTGCTGCTAAGCTCAGAACGAACGTTAGCTAGAGCGCGAGAAAAGTGCAGGAACGAAGAAGACGGGCTAGATAGACGAAAGAACGGCAGCTGCCGTGCGTGGGCATATGCGAGAACAATGTTTTGTACAGTGTGTAGTGCAAATAACGAACACTATTTTGTGTGCTGTTTACAAACAGAAATCTGTTAAAATTTAAATGTTTGCATCAAAGGAAGCAGAAATGTCTTCTTTGTGGCCGCTGTGGAGCTGGAGGACGACAATGCACATCGCAATATTGGATCAATCCGATCATGCAGGACACATATGCAATCAACATAGTTTTTTTTTATCTCCTTTTAAATGAATAAAATGAGTACCGTGTATAAAATTAATAAATAATAATATCCATATACTCTGTGTTCATTCGACTGCCTTAATTCGATTTAATTTGTATTAATTATTGCACTTTAGTAGCTGGCTTTTACTTATTCCCTTCCATTTTTAATGGGTATGTGTGTGTGTGTGTCTTTTAGCATTTTTACACTTGGCGCATCATAGGCTTTTTCCGTTAAATGGAATATGCGACAATGATGCCCATAAAAGCCCTGTGGATAGAAGAAGACAATGATGCGGCGCAATATTGGCAAGTGTGGCCGTATTCTGTCTAGTATTTTCACAAAATACTGAAATTATTCGGGATATCGAGGGGGGGTATCGATAGCGAACAGCTGTTCTTGCCGCATCAAACAATAAAAACAAAGCTAAAAATTTATGCGACAAAAGATGCGGCTTTGGTGTAAACACCTCGCATCATTTTCCGCACCTTCGACAATGATGCGGCAGTGTAAAAAGGCTACTTCGGACGACGAAAATTGGAATAATTTTATATTCCGCTCGATATGGGAAAATACCATCGTTTGCTTTTCTACTGTCTATCGGCTTGTCTATTTTCCGAACTGGGCACGGGTCAGCGAAACACCTGCAGCTTAATTTGCGGTCGAACGAATTGCCTTATTGTTTCCATACGAATATCATCCCTGATAGATCGACGGCATATAACAATTTTAATTGACAAACAAAAATATCGAAACATTTTGCCACCCCTAGAAATAGCTAATACTCACATCGCTATCCCGTGCAAGCATTTAAGCTTTTGTCATATCGCTGCAAACATGGATTCCACGGACCAGGCACCTGAGGTGAATGCAGAGACGTCTGAGGTGAACGCAGAGACGGCTGAGGTGAATGCAGAGACGGCTGAGGTGCATGGAGAGACGGCTGAAGTGAACGCAGAGATGGCTGAGGTGCATGGAGAGACGGCTGAGGTGCATGCAGGGACGTCTGAGGACAACGCAGAGATCCAACCGCTGGTCGGATTCGCGCGAGGCCTCGATCCCGATGAGATTTTGGGAATCGCCCACACGGGAGAACGCCACCCCATTTACCTTATTAAGTGGAAGGGATTGGACAGCCAAGAAGCTGACCTGGTGACATCCGAAGAAGCTAGAGAGCGCTGCCCCCAACTCGTAATAAAATATTTTGAGAAGCGCCTTAGCTGGGAAAAACGAGTTTAGCTTCGACGAAATGTACATACACATAAAACAAAATAAAAACATTTTGTACACACATCTCTCGTCTCGTCTCGTCTTATTTTTTTCTTTCTATTATCCCTTCTGTTTCAGCTACGCTTTCTTGCTACTCACATGGTACATCCATACATAAATACATACATACATACATACATGTATGTATGTACATATTCGGTAAAAGCAAAGCCTGAAACACCAAGATGTTAAAAGAGGAAAAAAATGATTGGTACGGGCGCGCGGCGCTTGTACTCCAATTCTCTTTTGGGCAGAATTCGCAAATATCTGTTGACCGTTTTTTCCTCTCTGAGCAGAACCCTTCGTTTCTCTTCGCATTTGTTTTGGGTTGACTACTCACTGCTCTGAGTTGATCTCCTCTGGTTTCTGGTTGTGTTCTGTTCGTTCAATAACAACTCATACACATGTACATACATATACAGCGATCCGCGACTGCCGCAAACGGTCATTTTTTTCTTTATTTTATTTTATTTTTGTTTTGTTTTGGTGGTTTCTGTAGCTGCCTTGTGTACGAAAGCGAGCGTCTGGCGTGATGTACAGTGTGTACATTGTACACATATTAATATACATAATGTACAATCATAATTGACTTTAACTTCGAAGAATTTGCTAACCCGGTATTCAGCGTGCAACGATGTATGTCCAAGTAGGCCTTCGCTTCAAAATCAAAGCACACGGGAATTAATTATTCGTCTGGGAATCATCCCACATACGAGTAAGCCAAGCCGATAAACAAATATTAATTCACGATGCGGATGCGGATGCAGATGCAGTGCCTTTCTGCTGTCTTTGTGGTTCCTGGCCCATGTGGCAGCAGGATCTTTTACGCCGCCAAGCCCGAACAAGGCAGTGCGGGGCGAGTACTCCTTCTCAGTGGCGTCGATGAAGCCACTGGTGGAGCTGGAGACAAAGCTAATCCAAAACCTCGACGACTATGCAGCAGAATTGGAGCAAAAGGTGCAGACACTCCGCAGGTGAGAGCTGCTCTCTCTCCCGCGCAGTGGCAGATTCTGTAGGGGATTGCATTTGCATTTGCAGGCACATTGCGGAGATGCGAGTGGAGAACGAGCAGGCGCAACGCAATGTGATCCGCTATCTGTCCCATCCGCTCAGCGCCTTCGCCCTTGTCCGGCGGCTGCACCGCGACTGGACGCAGTGGCGGCAGTACATTGCGGAGCCGGTGGGCAGGGCGCAGATGCGGAACTTTGACGCCTGGCGGGTGGCACTGCCCACGCAGATGGATCTGCAGGATGCATGCAATGGGATAGTCCGCATGCAGGAGGTCTACGGCCTCGAGGAGAAGCACATCTTCGGGGGACAGCTGGCAGGCGTTCAGTACAAGTGAGTGGCCAAGGGAGAAGTGATATCCCGATACCTGATACCATACCCTTGATTCCCATCCGGCAGCATTAGCATGTCCACTGGCGACATTTACGCTGTGGGCCAGCACTTGTCGAGGACCAAAAACGGCACAGAGGCCATTCCGTGGCTGCAGGAAGTGCGGCGGCGCCTGAGCAACCAAACGAAGGAGGAGGACCCAAACGAGCCCCTGGTTGTGGACAAAGCCGAGGTCCTGTGGCTGCTGGCCGAGACGTACATCAAATCCAGTAAGGAGAATCCTTTTTGAGGGAAGTCCTAATCCTAATCCTTTGATCTTGCAGAGCACTATGCAGAGGCCCTGCCCATCCTGGACATCGCACTAAAGCACAAGATCGCCGACGCCGTGTTCCTGCGACGCAGGGAGGAGGTCCAGCTGCTGATTGCCAAGGAGCCCAGCACCGTCTTGGATAGCGTATGTGCCCGGCCAAGACTCCTCCTCCACAGCGCCCTCATGTATCCCCATTCTCCTGCCGCAGGACAAGCCCAAGGACGATCCGAAACTGGCTGAATTCAAGAAGAGATGCAGTGGCGGGGGATGCCAATCCTCGCTGCACTGCTGCTACAACTTTACGACCACGCCCTTCCTGCGCCTGGCGCCCCTCAAAATGGAGCTGCTGGGGCAGCATCCCTACGTGGTGGTCTACCACGACGTCCTTGCCGACTCAGAGATAGCCGGGATCATCGGCATGGCCGAGGAGAGGATGGCCAGGGCAACGACCATTGCGCAGCCGAATCGAACCTCAGCGCCCACCCGCACTGCCATGGGCGCCTGGCTGAAGCGCTCCAGCAACGCCCTGACGCGGCGCATCGCCCGGCGAGTGGGCGACATGAGTGGCTTCCAGCTAGAGGGATCCGAGCGGATGCAGGTGATCAACTATGGCATCGGGGGCCACTACATCACCCACAAGGACTGGCTCGATAACTTTCCGGCAACGATGGGCAATCGTATAGCCACAGTCCTCTTTTATGTGAGTCGAGCACCTGCCACCGATCCACCATCCCCCCTACTGATCCTCCTCCTGCTTAGCTAACGGACGTGGAGCAGGGTGGCGCCACCATGTTCATTAAGGCCAAGCACAAGGTGCTGCCACGGCGAGGCACCGCCCTCTTCTGGTACAACCTTCACACGGACGGATCGGGCGACTGGTCCACCACGCATGCCGCCTGCCCCATCATCGTGGGCTCCAAGTGGGGTGCGTACCGGCCATGAACGTAGTTTCTATCATCTATAGCGTCTATATCCATTTAATTGCAGTGATGACCCAATGGATACGCGAACGTAGCCAGATCTTCATCCGGCCCTGCCTGCAACGCACCTCCGCCGAGGATTAGCCCCCATTCAACTCCCATTTGGCACACGGACAAGGATACGACTGATACTAACCGCCAAGGGAGGATACGTTGGAGCAGCGGGCGGGATATCCATAGACAAACAAATTTCCGGCATAATCACTTTAGACACTTAACAAAAACCGACAGCAACCCCCTCCCACCAGCTACCAGCCATCAGCCATCACCATCCTCCGGCTTAAATGCCTTTTAAAATGCCAACACGGAAAAAAATAAAGTGCTGAGTGGTTGATAGTCGTCGTAGTCGTCCCTGGGAATGGGTGAGAAGGGGGCAAGAGAGCTCTAGGGCCGAAGGTAAACCCAAAGGCAACCGCAGCCGCATTTTAGCATACTCCTAGAAGGAGGACACGGACACTCCTCCTGGCGATGGAGATGGCGATGGCAATGGCGTCTAGTGTCTGACACCGCGTACGTGACGTGCAACTTAATGTTTCAATTAGAGGTGAAGTGGCGCCCACCAGTTACCAGTTGGGGCAGCATGTGGCACCAGTGGGGTGCATGAGGTTATCGTTACCGTTTCGCACCGTATCATCTCCATCGCATGGGGAACGGGGCCCATGTGCTGTGCAAGTATCAGTCTCTGCACTTATCTGCTTTTAAAAACTTTTAATAATGAACTCTCGCCCACCGCCAAGCGACGTGTCAGTGGCAGCCATCAGACCTTTGGCCTCCCCTGACACCCCACCACACGCTGACTCTGCAGTTTTTGTGTTTAGTCTACAGTTCTCCTGGACCCACACCTTTTTCTATGGGGGGACGGTACTTCCCGTATTTGCATGGTAGTTGGGAGTGCTATTTAATTAAATTTATTTAAACAAACGGAGAACAGGAGGAATCTTTCTGCAAGCAAGTTGCTTCGGCCATCGTTGATCGAATATTCCCAGAATATCCTCAAGTATTCTTCAATCATTCTAGAGGTCTCTGAGTCGAAGTGAAGCGATAAAAATGTAAGCAGGAAGAAATTTTTCCCTGCCCTGCTCCCAAACACCTTTTAATAAAGCGAAGCGCAGTGTCCAGCCATTCAATAAATAAAAAATTGCCGACATATGCGAAAAAGTCTTGCTGCTGAATGCTGAATGAATCAAGTGGCCAACGAATGAGACGAGACTCCATCCACCAACCAGAGGGACTTCCAGACGCACTTCTTACCCATCAGAGAGTTAGTCTACCCCTTGAGGGTAGCGTCCTCCTGGCAGTCGTCTATGCCTAGCCATCTAGATGGTTCGCCCACCGGAATTGTACCTAAAAAACGAATTCGAATTTCGTTTTGATTGTGTGCACTTTATGTGGTGTGTCCTGTGTGTCCCTCCTCTACTACTCATATTTATCTTGCCTGCCTGCCTGCCCTGTCCCCTGGAGCCACACGCCACACAGAACCACAATCGAGCCACAGAGATGATTACATATGCGCAGACCAATAATTTTGCCCAACGAGAACGTATTCTATATCCTCTCCTATGCAACAAGGTTAAGACATCCTTGATTCCAGGCGGCAGGATGGAGGATGTGATGTGGAGGCTGAGGGGGGCAGCATTGATTGTATAAATCTAGTAAAATGTTTTATATGCGCATCGAAGATGAATGCGAGGGGGCAAAAGGAAATGCGGAAAAGGGTTACATTTTGTGGTCAATGAAGGAAATATGATTTGGATTTTCGTTACTTTGATTACACACATTACATGCGAAAAATGAAAAAGTAGCAGGGACCCCGTGGACAGTTAGACACACCCCCAGACAGCACAGCACACACACACACCAAAGGGGTCAACCGATGTATACATACAAATATATATATGCTCGTAAGTATGTATATATTATATACTATATACATACATATCTACCAATGTACACGGCTACAACGTGTGTTAAATTTCAAGTTGCGGTCTGCGGTCCCATCGTAAAGCATTTGATGGGAGGAAATTGAGTTTTTCTTTTCATTCTTTTTTTTTCTTCTTTCAAGCAGCTGCTCGGACGAAAGAAAATGCCTGGCGGGCCCCCCCTGCCCCGTGCTCAGGGTCAATTGGGTTGCGAAAATCGATAAATTGATTCGAACACATTTAAATTTAAATGTCAGAGATCTCCCAGAGACATGCCAACGATCGATCGACACCTTTCAACACCTTCAAAGAGGCCGCAAGGTAAGAGCTGTCTCTATTTATACCTGAACAAATCACCAAAGTGGGGGCAATGCGCCCAATCAATCGATGCGATCGATCCAACCATCCAACGATCGAACGGAGGTGCTGACAGGTGCCAAGGCTGCAATTGCAGCTGCACTGAGACGAGTGCATTGTCCCCCTCTCGCGATCGTTTCACTTCACGGCAAAAAAAAAAAACCTTGTAAAATCAAGAATATTACCAGCTGAAAAATCATTTAAAAATTGTAATTGTTCTACGTTAAAAGTTATGCAAAACGTCTAAAGAAATTCTTTATTTTGTTTTATTTATTATTTTATGTATTTGGGATCTCATCTGCAGGTGCCACCATTCACAGTAGCTTCAATCCATAAGAAGCGAAATAAATCTGAGCTGTATGTGAATGTAGTCAATGGCCAAGTGAAACCTATATAAGATCTGTATTCTGAGCCATCATTGTCTGATATTAGAGACACATCCGAGAAGTGTTTATTTTACTTGATTCCCAGCAGAGTGTACGCCACACACAAACACACGATTAGCCTGAGACTGAGAGCCCAAGTCCAAAACTCAGACTCGGAATACTCGTGCCGGTTACAAAATTGATTAAACGGACAGTCAGTGGAGTGGATGGTCGCCGGCTCACAATCAATTATGGGATGACAAATTTGACATGTGTCTGTCTGTGTGTGTGTGGTGTGTGTGTACCGAAGAGAGTGGAATGGAGACTGATTGCATAATCTGGGGACAGTGGACACTGTCCAGTTGCCTCACAGATGCATGCAAATCGCAATCAGAATAGAGCCAGTCAGTGGGAAATCAATGCCAAAGTTGATTTACGTGTGCGGACTGATGGACAGACGGTCGGACGGACGGTCGTACGGCGAAAGGGTGGGGGGAAACAGCCAATTGTCCTCCAGTGGAGCGCAACAGTCAGTCAGTGGAGTCGCATGGCATGGCCATATCGCAATGATTCGAACCAGAGGGACAGACCCCGCCCGAATGCAGCTAAACGAATTATGTCTAATGGCATTTCAGGTTGAAATGCGATTAAAATGCAATTTGAAATGCAAAACATTTCCCCCACCTCTCTCCCGTTCTGTATCCCGCTCCAGCGAGTGTGCAAGTGATGAGTGTGGAGGGGGGGAGGACGACTCCTCTTGTTCGACACTTTAAGAGTTTTGCGGCGTCTGTCGTCTCGGCATTGTCTGGCCAGAGCAAGAGGCTGGCCGCTAGCCAAAAAATAGCCCTCCTCATTCCTCAGGTCTATTCTGTTAAGTTTTAGTCAGTTCTGTTCAGTTCTGTTCTGTTCTGCTCTGGCATCCAACATTTGTTATGTGTTGCGGTCATGTTTTGTGCTCTGCATCCTACGTCTACGTCTGGCACCTGGCTGACCGACCGACCGACCAAGCAACCGAGCAACCGAGCAACCATTAAGGGGCTGCGATAGATTGACTTCAAATGTTTTAGAAAATCTTAAATCGCGCAGCCCAGATTTATGTGCAGCCCGTGCGACAATTAAAACTCCATTGCGCTGACAATGAAGCCAGTGATGCAGGCATGGAAAGGCAGCGGGAAAAGACCAGGGAAAAACTATTTTCACAGTGCCAAGAAATTCGCTGTTGCCAGTTGCCAGTTCTTCCTGGGTTTTTGGGTACCTTTTGTGTCACCTCAGACCGCGGAGCTTCCCTCCCCGACGACAACGAAGCATAATTTATGCGTTGGCCAGACGCCTTGGCTATGGAGATGCAATTGGAGTTGGGGAAAGAGGATGAGGATGCAGATGCAGACCTGGCCAGCATTGGACACATTTCTAGACAAGCGAACATGACAGCGGCTATGTCGCTCGTCGTCTGCGCTTTGTTCTCTCTCGTCTCGCCGCTCCCCAAACTTCTCGGGGGGAAATTCACGTGGAAAAAGTGCAGCCAGCAGCAGCAGCAGCAGCAAACGTGTAAATTATTTTAATTAAAGAAGCAGCAACATCCAGCAGGAAGATGAAAACACACAGAAGGATGAAAGTCGAAGACTAAATGCCCTGGCACTGAGAGAGGAGAAGATCTGCGCTTTGGATTATACAGGCGTGGCAGGAGTACCATGACAATAATAGAGAATATATTTTTAGTGGGAATAGGTATAGGTATACATTATAGTGATTTACTTATCGATGTCAGTTCACAGTTGATGAATAGAAATCATCTGGGATAGGGAAGATTCTAGCTCGATAAAGGTTAAATGCCAAACGAATTTTTATTAATTACTAAATACATTTTTCTGTACTAAAAAATTAATTAATCTCCGTGTCATACTTGAAATATTTATTTCAAGTAAACAAAAATTTTCGTATAAATAAATAATTTATAAGTCATAATAAATATAATTATTTACTAACTTTGGGTATGATGACCTCCAAAATCGGAGTAATTAGACAATGCTTGACGAAATCTTTTAAATTCAATTTTACCAGATTTTGTTTGGATAATAAATGATTCCATTATTTCTAGGGGTTGAAAAATTATATAATATTTAGGATAAATAAATTTTCTTAGTAATATTAATACTTAATACTTAGTAATACTTATGTGTATATTTTTGGAACTCTTCGTTATTTAATGAGTGCCATCTCTAGAGTCCGCGATGCCAATTAGTGGCCGATCCCCCAAGGCAGAGTCGTTGATAGAGTATCTAAAACCATCGCCCAAGGAACGAAAGAAAGAGTCTTGTTGAGGAGCAGACAATGGCACGAGGTGTGTGCCGGGGCGGGGGAATGGTACGAATACTTTTAGGAGATAGAGTACGGAGTGAGTAGGTGAGTCCGGGAATGGGGGGGAGGGGGTTGTGCGAGTATGTGTGTTCGCTCGATTTACGCTTTGCATTTGTCATGATCTGTTTATTTTGATGTATGGCCAAGTGATTAATTTAAGCAGATCGCGGAGTTTCACTGGCGCAGCCACAGTCACAGCCACAGCCATAGCAGGCCACTTGATTTATTTCGCTCGATTTGCACTTTGTTAGCGTAGAGTACTCCCCGCTGGCTCCACTCTCCGCTGTGGAGATCTGCAGATCAGATCCACTTGCGAAATAAATGCAAACTTAATGGAACACTCCCCGTACTC